ATTAGAAAGATGTGGAGAGATGATGACTTTGTTCATAGGTACTGCTGCCATGGTGGGTATTTAAACCCACCATCTTTGTTTCCCTATATTCAAATAAGTTAGAAAACAGAAATTAGTAAAGGAAAATGGGCTGACTTACTGTTTGGTCAAAATTGTGGGTGGATCTAATTCCTACCCACCCTGTGACTGTGGCCATCTCACAATTACAAAAAGCCATGTGACATAGGGTGGAACATATGTAAGCTTCACCGCTAGAAAGACTGAATGTTCTTCTCTTTAGGGGAAAGTATCTGGGCCACTGGTTGCCTCCTTCCTCTAGTACAGAGATCTTGTTATTCAGGTACGGGCTGAGTCCAGGCCTAAAGAGAGCCCATGTGTATGCAGCTTTTTGATGTCCCTACTCTATATTCCTCATGTGCTCACTGAACCTGGCTGCCTCAGGCCTCCAAAGCATCTGGTGAAGCAGTGACTCACAGATGGGTAAAAAGCATGGATGTCTAAGGTGGTCGTGACTAGTCAGTGAATCCTCACTGTGCATCAGCATTACCTCTTGCAAAAGCAGCTCAGGCTTTCCCAGACACCTGACTTTGCCTCTCAGAACTGACCTTCAGACACTGGACATTTTGCTGTACCCCATCAGTCCCTTTTGAGAAGAGAAATGGGCTTTGCTTCCTGACTCTGGCCTGGAGGGCTAGTGGATCCAGGGATTGATGATGAAAAGTTGTAAATCTGTGTTTTCTTGCATAGAAGCCACTCTCTGCTTGAGCTACTGAGCTGGTAAGAACAAGAAACTGAAATCCCAGTGTCTGGCTTTCATTGTCATGAATTTAAACATCACCTGTCATGACCATGTTTAAACAGCTCAGCTCTCCAGGTTAGGGGAAATGGGTCATACTCAGTAGGTAACAGAGAGCCAGAGCCCTGTGCATTCCTAATGAGAGGACACATGGCCTAGGAAGTCTCCTGCCTGGGGCAGACATCATCACACAAGTCCAAGCTTGTTTGATCAAGTTTGTATCAGCATCTGTGCTGTTTCAGTGATATTTGCTTTGTGGGATGGGGTGGGGGTGGGGGCTGCTGCACTGTTCTGAAGAGGCATTCTTACTGATTGTGTTTCACCTCCTAGAACAGGGGACTCTAAGCTGCCCTTGGCTCCCATTCCTTGAACAGGGTCTATGCCCTGTTCCTCTGTTGCATAGATTGAAACTTGTGGGTCTGTCTGTTTTGCTCTTTCTTGAATAGAGCCAGCTGAGACCTGCAAAGGTGTTCCAGCTGTATTTAGTAGAGATTCAAGCTGTGCTGAGCTGCAGATGGAGCTGAATTTATTTCCAGCTGCACCTTCTGAAACACACATGCAACATATTCTAGCTGGTGTTCAGGACCAGTCTTTCGTGGCTTCAGTCATTCACTGGCCCGGGGATGCCTCTGGGAGAGTCACCTGCCCCAGGGCCTCCCACAGTCCCCTGTGCCCCTGTTCCATTGTTCTGTAAACCAACAAGTCTCATTGCTGGTGTTCACCGCCCCACTGTTGCTTTTACTGTGGAGAGTCTGATGGAGTCGAGGCCATTTTCTTTCAAGCTACACCTACTGCCTTCTATTTCGGGTCCCCCAATAGCTTTGTTTCTCCCCGACAGTGTTCCTTCTCGCCATGATTTCAAACACATACAAAATTAGATGGTTGGTCCCAAGAACACTGAAGTGAAAGGATGCCAGTGTGATGGAGGGGAAATTAGTGGTGTTCCAGAAGGCTGGCACTCACAGAGCAAAGCAGGGTCCACAGTCTGCATGGGTTTCCCAATGTTTTGGCAACCAGCCTTGGAGCCTTGAAACCCCCCAGCACTCTCTTCTCTGATGGAGCCACATTGATGCCCAGCTTCCTGCCTTGCCCTGTTCTAAAAGGGGATGAACCTTGAAAGGGGATAAATAGCTACTTTGTGCCAGTCTGAGAAGCCAACTAACTGAATCCAAGTGTGGAATGGATGGATTCTGGGAAAGGGGGTGGGCACAGCAGCCCAGCAACAATGCCATTGAGGCTAGTGATACCTGTGTTCATCAGTGTATGTAGATGACATTCCCAGGGCAAAGTAAATTCCCATGACTGTTTTCATAGTTAGAGGTACACCTGCCTTCTAGAGCATTACGATTCCTGGGAACCCAGTGACTGAGTTTTATTTTTTTACTATAGCTAGTTTCCAGGCAGAAACGGTTGTCCCCAGGTCTGAGGTCACTGGAATGTTCTGAGACACATTTTTTTCTCTCTCTTTTTTTTTTTTTCTTAACCCTAATAAGACTACGGAGTTTCGATCCTAATAAAACTTAACAATGTTAAAATTGTCCCTCTACTTAAGGTTCAGTTTTCATGTCTTATGATATTATAGAAATAATAACACCACCCAGCCTTATTATCGTGGGAGAAAAAGAGCTGGCTCTACCTTCAAAGTGCTTAGCACCAGGTATGTGCCAGATAATATTCCGAGAACTTGATGTCAGTGAACTAATTCGATCTACACATCAACCTTATGAGAAAGGTGGATTTTATTAACCCAGGTGAGGAAATGGACTCTAGAGAGATTTTAAAACCCTTCAGATAGTCAAACAATGTGTTAGTGGCACAGCTAGCCTTGGCCTAGCTTGTCAGGCTCAAGAGAACATGCTCCTGCTAGGAGAAAGGACCTGCAGATTTACTCTCAACAAAACATTGAATCCTCCTGTGCCCTTGTCGAACGCCCCCCAAGCCCACCAGGCTTGGGTCTTCAACAAGAAGGACACTCAGGCCAAAGTCTGAAGTTATGCGAGGAATTTATTGAAAGGAAGGCAGGTACAGGTCGAAGAGAGATCTCCAGAAGAAACTGAACTGTGGGGTCCCCCAGGTCCTTTTTGTCTGACCTGGAGTTGGGGTTACCTAGGTGATTTTTACTAACAGAAACAAAAGGGTTACTATGGATACCGCACGAAGCTGCAGCTTCCGGTGCCCGCAGACCAAACCGAAACTAACTTTCTAGAAGACCTGATTTATCATACAGGTACAGCCTGTCAGCTCTGACCACTGAAGCAGAGAGCTCAGAAGCTCTTAAAGTGACACTGTTCTAATTTCCAATGCTTATGGTAAGCACGGCTCCCGACACTCCTGCCCACCCCACCCTGTCCCACACACTTAGAACTCACCAACTTCTGTTAATAGGTAAACAGTCATTAAGTGCAAACAGGAAAATGTGAAAGTTTTCTTCCGTTAGATGGAACCTTATGGATAAGACCTAAAAGATGCACATTGATGAAGCAATCCGAGTTTTCAGTGGTTGGTCCACTGGTACCTTAGCAGAGGGTCTGCCAGGCATGTCCAGCCTTTTGATGCTGCAACATGATATTGTCATCTATGGAGTTCATGCTTGAGATCTATACAACTAAATTACCAAAAAACACACACACACACACACACACACACACACACACACACACACACAAACCTCTCATAATGTTTTTCTTTTTTTTTCCTTTGTTGCTGTGGTGTGGGTTTTGTGTTTTAGTCTTTTTGAGACAGGGCCTCCCTGTAGCCTCAGCTGGCCTCGAACCTGCTATGTATACCAGGCTGGCCTTGATCTCACAAAGATTCACCTGCCTCTGCCTCCCAAGTGCTGGGACTAAATGCATGTACCACCATGCCTGGCATATCTCATAATGTTTTAAGTGAGTTCATGATTTTGTGGTAGGCCCAATTCATAGCCATCTTCATCTGCATGCTACATATGGTCTTTTGACTGCAGGACAGACACTCCTGACAGGAATCCTTCACAGGGGAAAGATTGTTTCTGGAATGTTCTTAGCCACCAAGAGTGTCACGTTTCTCCACTTCCCTGGGTGCACTCGGGTCCTCACTTTTGTGTTGGAAACAGACACATAAAGGTTGAGTACTATTGCTTAATAAATGCATTTTATCAGAAGGAAATATTCAGAATGGCAGCCTTGCCCAGGAAGTCAAGAGCTGGTAGCTTGCTTACATGGACTGACTCCAGCTGCCGCCATGAGTGGTTTTCTCTGCAGCTCCTGGCAACACCCCTTAGCCATCCTTGAGAAGCGTCAAGCAGTTGGAGACTGCATGTGGAAAGACGGAGCACAAAGCTGTAGTTGTCTTATGCCTTAACTCATTTTGCCAGTTGACGATGCTGCTCTGAATGTGTAGGGAAGAGTCACGAAGCAGAAGAGAGACCAGGAGCTGAGGGTCGCTGTGTTCTAGAAGTTCAGCTGCCAAACTAGTGAGGTCTTTTGTCTTTCTTGTCTTTCTTCTGGACTGAATGTCTTTGGTTGCCCAACCCACACTGTTGGAACGATATAAGGCACCTATTCCAATATAGTTTGACCTGGTGGTTTTATCTAGAACCTGCTTTTCTTACTCCTCCCATCTCTGCCCACTCTGGAGTCAGCTGTGTCCTAAACTCTTTTTCATGGCATCAGGAGGCTTCCAGTGATATACAGGGCTATGTGAGCCTCGGCCTGTATTTGGTGCTCTCAGAACTCCCTTGGGTCTTGGATTACGCATACTCTCTGAATTAGTGCCGCGCTAAGTTGAGTTGGATATCCAAAAGCCTGTGTTGGAATCAGGTTTTCTATAGACCTGAAGCTGTGAAGGGGGAGATGTAAGTCTGGACTAAAGACTGGTGTAGCCATCAAGAGAAGAGTAGACAGGATAGGAAACTGTAACTCTAGCCCTTCTGTATTCTGTCAGTCCACCACTGTGCGTGTGTGCATGCATGTGTGCGTGCGTGCGTGTGTGTGTGACTCAAAACTGTCCTCTGCTCCCCTCATCCCCCTCTTCCCTTGTTCCCTTCCTCCCTCATCTCTGTCTTTCTTTGTCCTTCTCCGCTCTCTGTTCCTCTTGTTTAGCCTTCCCCTTCTTACCCATCATCCCTCTGGATGGATAATCTAGTCTTTTATTTAACTCGGCTAAATTGGTTCAGTCAACTTAGTTTCTCCCTAAACTAACTACCTTCCTATTTGCCCCCCAGGAAGAAGAAATGCCAGATGTAGAGATTGATATTGATGATCTTCTTGATGCTGACAGCGAGGAAGAAAGAGCTTCAAAATTACAGGTCAGCAGCTTTCAAAATACAGAACTTCATAATCATGGACATTTGAATCCTCTTGGGTCTCCAGAACTTTACATCAGTGGATACTGTCTTATGGGGGCACTGGCACCCCATCTGTAGGACTTGAGCAGTGGCATTTTGCAGAGCAGAAAGTAATGGATGCTGACTCTTCACCCTCATCCATTGCATGTGGATGATAAAGCAGCTGTTGACTACAGTCAGGTCTCCAGAGACCTTCTGGGTTAACACTCCCCAGCCTCATTATCTTGGGAGAGAGAGCTGGCTCTCCCCTCAAAGGTCATCCTCCAGGGAAGGCAGCACGCCCCGAAGATGGAGCATGAGAGAGACTGAGCTGGGACTGGGAATATCCAGACCTCAGGTTCTGGTCTTGCAACTGTGGATCATATCATTCCTGAAAGCAATTTCTAGAATTAGATTGCTTATAATATAATTCTGTTTGGTAAAATGTCTTTTAATAGACGCTCACCTGATTGCATTCTGCAGCAACAGGAGAGTATGAAATAGCTATTGTTCCTTAGTGGAAATCAGTAAAACACAGTTCTTCCCGTGGGAGGTCAAGTCTATCACTGATAAATCTGCACTGGGCAGTCTGTAAAACTAATTAACCTAAGACCTGCCATTGCTCTTAATGTCCACTGGTAATTATTATTAGTGTCTGTTGGTGGTCCCAGGTGGCACATGGTGACAGTCTACTGAAAGGCACATTTTATAGCATTGATGTGTTTAATGTGTTCATAATTACTAATGCCCCGTGGGAGGCGAGGAGCCTCAGTTACAGTGATTATTCCTGGTGGATAGATTTAGTTGAGAGAAAATAGTTAGAGAAAAAGCAGACAACAATTCTATAGGAAAGGTAATGACATAAAAAGAGTTTCCTTGGGGCTGGAGAGATTGCTCAGGAGTTAAGAGCACTGACTGCTCTTGCAGAATATCCAGGTTCAATTCCTAGCATCCAAATGGTGACTAACAACCATCTGAAACTCCAGTTCCAGGGGAATTTGATGCCCTCTTCTGACCTCTGAAGGCATTGCACAACATGGTGCACTTACATACATGCAGGCAATACACTCGTACGTATAAAATAAAAATAATAAATAAAACATATTTTTTTAAGTTTCCTTAAAGTTGAGAACTTGAACTTTTTTGGTTGTCATCAGCCTCCCCTTTCCAGCAGGGTTTCCAGGTGAGTGAGACGCTAAGGACCCAAGACCCTCTATAGCTGAATCATGGCCAGAGCCCTCTCTCCATGTCCACTGTAACTGTCATCATATTGTACAAGCAAGGTTTCAACTTTAAGTATGACTACTTTACTATTAACCAGGTAGGGAGTGTGCTCATATGTGCAAAGAAAGAGTAAAAGTATCATTGACTGGGTGGGTAGGATCACTCTGGGTTACACTGGAGAGACAGAGAGAAGGAGAGAGAGAGACAGAGAGAGAGGAGTTGGTCCCTACTAGCACTCAGTTAGCTAGTGCTGGCTTAGGGAGTCCCCAGCGCTCTGTAGACCATCAACCATACCTCATCCACCTTTATTTAAATTGATTTTTTTAGGTTAGCATACAACGTGATGGGTTTCATTTTGGCATTTTCATACACACGTGCCATTATACCTTTTGCTCCTGTGCCCCTGCCTGGGTCTGACAGGCTCCCTTCCTTCCCCAGGTAGCCCCTCCCCCCACCGTTGCCTGCTTTAATTTTTAAAAATTTTATTGAGCTTCTGTAATTTCATTCAACAGTTCTTAATCAAATTTAGACCCCTTCCCCATCCGTGTCTCCCCATGCCCCGCACCAGACCTTGTGTATTCTGCCATGCATGTTAAGTCCTATCCTGTAGTCAAACATTTGTATTCAGATGTCCTTCAGTGTAAATTTCCAAAGGAGTCTAGTCAGCCTTTCTAGAGATCGTGTGTAAGGCATACTCTCCCTCACCCAGTAGCAGTCAGTTGCCAATACTTCTCAGTCTAGGGCCAGCCCACCACCCATTTCTCTCCTCCCCTCTGGGCCCTTGTTTAATTGAATTGGTGTAGGTCCTGTACTTGATGCCACAAGTTCACATGTACAAGCTTCCAGTGGCCTGGAACCTGCTTCCCTGTGTTCATGAAGTAGCCCTGGCTCTTAAAAATCTTTCTGCCCTCCTTCCCCAATGGTCCCTGAGCCTGGTGGGTGAGGTTCAATATAGGAGTCCTATCCAAGGACACACACTCTGCAGTCTCCTATTCTTTAAAACCTGGCCAGTTATGGCCTTCTGTGTGCACTGAACTCTGTTGTATAAGGAAGCTTCACTGGTGAGAGCTGAGGGATGCATTAGTTTTCTCTCTACCCCTTGTTCCGCTATATTCCATGAAACTTAAGTGTATGTAATCACAGATGTGCCACTTAGGACTGGACATCGCTCAGACATATATTCTCTGTGTCTGACCAGTTGTGGAATTCTGCAGTAGCCTCCATCTATTGTGAAAAAAAGCTTCTTTGATGAATGGTGTGCAGTATGCTTGTCTGTAAATAGAAGGATCGATATTTAGCATATGGTAAGAAATTTCATTTGTTTAGAATATGAAAGAGGTAGGGTTTTCTCTAGGATCTATGTCCTCTCCTGCCATGTGTTTTTGGCTGAGTTTCTCCTGCTTTTAAATCATACCCATGCTCCTTTAAGTGAGCTCTTTTCTGTAAGACACTTATGATCTGGTTGAACAATTATATTTTATTTTCAAAGCTATGATATCACAAACATCTAATCTTTTGTATTGGAAAAACTTTCTATGTAGTGTATATACGCATACATGTGCACATACACATGTGCTAAGGATAAAACATCCCTTCATATTAATGTCATTTTTGTGTCTTAGATAGCCAACTGGTGATAAAATATAGTCAATAGGAACCTTTGGCAGACCATTGGAAAATAATAGTTTAAAGGTAAAAATGAGTTTTTAAATTGGTTGTTTTTAAAAAATATTTTATTGATTTGAGAATTTCATACAATATATTTTGATCATGTTCAGACCCCCTTCCCACTCTCCACCCTGACCTTACTTACCCCCACCCTGACTTCATGTCCTCTATTATTATTACTTTTTAAATGTCTTTTGAGTCTAACCTGTGTTTCCCAAATGTTCTTGGGTGTGAGTCTATTCCTTGGAGTCTGGTCAACCTACCAGGCATCACATCAGTAAGGAAAACTGACCCTTCCTCTCTTAGCATCTATCAGTTGGCAATCGATCTTCAGCTAGGGCTGGGGCTTCCTGCCAACCCCTACCCCCATTCATGCTGGGTTTGTGTCTGACATGAGTTTGCACAGTTCTTGTGCATGTTACCATGAGTCCTTAGCATTCATATGTGGACTATCCTGTGATGTCAGACAACACATTGCCTGGTATTCACCTTCCATCTCTGGCTCTTACAATCTTTCTGTCCCCTCTTCCCCAATGATTCCTGAGCCTGAGCTGGTGAGAGTGTGACATAGGTGTTCCATTTAGGGCTGAGCACTCCACAGTCGCTTACTCTCTGTGAGTTGACTATTTGTGGGTCTCTGTGCTAATCACTATCTGGTGAAAGAAATTTCTCTGTTGAGAGTTGAGAGATGCACTAATCTACTGGTATAACAGTGAGTTTTCATGAATCAGTTTAATGTTATGTCGTTGCTGGTGGGTGTGCAAACTGATGCAGCAATTATGGAAATCAGTGTAAAGTTCCTCAAAAAGCTAAAAATAGATCTAACTCATGATCCAACTACACTACTCTAGGCATACATCAAAAGAACTCTGTATCCTACTACAGAGACACCTGTTCATCTAAGTTCTTTGCTGCCCTATTCACAATAGCTAAGAAATGGAAACAACCTAGATGTCCATTCACTGATGAATGGATAATGAAAGTGTGGTATATTTGCACAATGGAGTATTATTCAGTTCTTAAGAAAAACAAAATTGGGAAATTGAAAGGTACATGGATGAAAACACCCTGAGATAACCCAGACCTAGAAAGATAAACATTCATGTTCTCTCTCATAAGTGGATGCTAGCTTTGAATCTTTGGATAGATATATTTCAATGGGAAAATTCTTAGAGATCAGGAAACTAATAAGGGGTCATGGGGAAGATTCATAGGAGGGGAAACAGAAGTAATTGATAGGATGGGTTTAATGGGGTGGGGAAAGGAAGGGTAACACAGAGGGAAGGTAGAGGAGGGATAACAAATGCTAAAGACCTTTAGAAGGAGTACTTGGGGAACACAGATTAGACTTTATAGGTATTAAAAAACATTAATAGAGGGCATGAAGTCAGGGGCTAGTAGTAAGGTAATAAGGGGAGAGGGGGGTCAGACAGATTCTTTTTTAAAATATATTTTATTATTTTTATTTTATGTGTATGCGTGTACTGCCTGCATGTATGGAAGTGCACCCGTGTCATGCAATGCCTGCAGAGGCCAGAAGAGGGCATTAGATCCCCTAGAACTGGAGTTACAAATAGTTGTGACCTAGAACTGGAGTTACAAATAGTTGTGATCTGTCATGTGGGTGCTGGGAATCAAACCCAAGTCCTCTACAAGAACAGTCAATGCTCTTAACCTCTGAGCCATCTCTCCAGCCTTTCCTAAATACTGTATTAGAATTGATTTTTGTCATATCAATTTGTCTGTTTCTAAAGCTGAGCTATTAATGAGCAAGTACAAATGATCAGTTAACGTCTATGTGTACCTGTCATTGCTTCATGCTAGTTTCATTATTTCTGAGCTTAAAGATCTTTAGTACAGGAAGATTTTAATAGAACAGGGTGTGTTTCTTGCTTTAGAGAGAAAAAAAATCTACACTTCAAAGGAAACCAAGATGTGGAGTCATTAGAGTTGGAGAATATATCTTATTAGTTTATAGGTATGCATTTTTAAAAAGTTTAAAATCAGTTCTGTCTTTCAAAAACTTGCCTTTGTTGGGAGAAAAAGTGTTAGGCACTGCTTGGATATTTATCAAGTATATGAATTAGTAT